GTTAACTTTTAGTCAGCATATAAATAAAAAAGCATCAGAAGCATTGGCGGCTTATGGTTTCATAGTAAGGAATTGCAGGAATTTTCATAACATAAAGTCTATTAAGCTGTTATATTATGGTTATGTTAGATCCAAAGTCGAATATGGTAGTATTATTTGAAGCGCTTACTATGAATGCTATAGCACAGCTATTGAAAGAGTACAACGGAAGTTTATGAAGTTTGTTCTGTTTAGGATTGATGGGACATATCCAGAGAGAGGTACAAGTAATGAGGAACTATGTAGTCGCTTAGACATGTTGACTTTGAAAAAACGTAGGTACTGTGCCTCAATAATATTTGGCTACAAAATGATCAACAATTTAATTGATTGCCCCTTGATCCTGGAACAGATCAAGTTTCGTACTCCAACGTTTGCATCTCGCAATCATAAAATATTCGGGCTTCCTAGAGCTAGGACAAACATTCTTCTCAAGACACCGTTATATGTAATGTGCTCTAACTTAAACAGAATTGGATGTTACTGTGATATATTTACGACAAATGTTAATTAGCTGCTAAAAGCAGCTAATGCTTATTCGGACCAATAGCTCATGTTACAAATTTATATCTGTGTTGCATTTGTTGTTTTCTTTTCGCTTTTTTTGCTTTTGTATTATGTTTATAAATTGTCCTATAAATGGGAAACTGTTGGACAATAAAGCTATTATTATTATTATTATTATTACAGAACCGGCAAAAAAAAAATATCAAAACTGGAAAAAAGAAACTTTTGACTTGACTTTCACAAAAAAAATGCCAGTAGTAACGATGACAACCGTATAACACATAACTTTAACAAGCTATGAAGTCAACGTCAAGTTGATATCAAGGCCTCCCATTTTATTTTGAAGCTAATTGTATCTCAGCTCTTCATGAATGATCTAATTTGTTTTATTTTTATTCTTACGAAAACAGTGCACTCTAGGAAAAAACACGCGTAGCAGTGATGTCAATCGATTACTCCAAGGCATTTGACAAAATAAACCATGAGTTGTTAATCGCAAAGTTGAAGTATTATGGCATAGATCCAATTGCATTGAACTTTTTTCGAAATTATATATCAAATCGATCGCAGTGTGTATCAATTGAAAACAATAAATCTAGTTTTCTAGAAATCTCGTCTGGAGTACCCCAGGGGTCTGGTTTGGGTCCCTTGTTGTTTTTGATATATGTATATTGCTGATCTGCCTAAGGCTGTGAGTTTTTGTGAACTCCAGTCTTTTGCGGATCATACTCAACTGGTCCACTATTTTGATACTGATGATATGGAAATGGCACAGACATAAATAAACTATGATATTCAAAAAGTGTATGACTTCTCGAATAACCACAACCTGTCAAGAAATCCTGGTAAATCCAGCCTGTTATTTTTTTGTTCGGATCGTAGGAGAGAAGAAATTAAAAGTCAATTAACTATTAAAATTGGATCTCAAAGACTGTACCCGGTTGACGAGGTTAAAATTCTTGGCGTGGTAATCGATTTCAAACTGAGATTCACCAGTCATGTTAAAAATCTTTTGAAGAAAACCTACTTGAGACTGAGATCACTATATGCCAATAAAGCAATTTCCAATTATAAGCTAAGGAAAAAACATCTTTGGTTATGCCGATTTTCAGCTACTGTGATATTTTATATTATCCGTGTCTCAATGTTGTTACTAGAAATCAGATTCAAATTGTGCAAAACAATTGTGCTAGGTTCATCTGCGGTTTAAGGCGCTTTGACCATGTTTCTGGTAGTCTTATTGAATTAAACTGGATGATAACAAAAAATATTGTCAATAATCATTACCTTGTTTTTATTCATAAACTAATACTTATGTCAAAACCTATATACTTAAGAGAAAAGCTGATCTTTAGGCGTAATATTCATCATAGACATATTAGATTTCCAAATTTGATAACTACACCTATTCACTCCACAACTTTATTCCAGCGTTCTTTCACGTACAGTGCTTCAGTGTTATACAATGCCTTGAGTCCTGAATTCAAAACCATGTCCTTAAATTGCTTCAAGTAAGCTGTCAAATCTCATATTTGCTTGGATCCATAGTCTTAATTAGATTGCTATAGATATATTGTTAAATGATCCTTCACTTCCCTTGTGTACATGTAGCAAACCTTGGTGCAACATGTAAGTATGTATGTGTGTATATGTATGTATGTATGTACATATACTAAGTGACATATAAATCCGAAAACCCAGTTTAAATGGTTTTATTTTAATAAAAGTTGGTGAATGCATTTATCTTACTGTAAATAACAACAGCCTTATCAGTTGGACATTCCGGTTTTTATACTGCTTTTTTTAATTCACTAACGCTCTAAAAATGAATATTTCAGCCGCAGTAAAGAATCAACGTTGGCGGATTTTGGTTCTTGACATCCTTTACGATCGGTTACGATGCCTAGAGTACGGAGACCTGTACGATTTCGTCAATTTAGTGAGTTTGATAGGGGCGGTATAGCGGGACTTCGGGAAGCTGGACTTCCTTTTCGGGCAATTGCAGTTAGAGTGCAAAGAAGTGTAGACACTGTGGTTAAGTGTTGTCAGGCATGGCTTCGAGAAGGAAGTACGCAAAGAGCAAGGGGCACTGGACCGCCTAAGATTATTGGCCTTAAGGGACCGTTTCTCCACTACCAGGTCCATTGCAAATGAATGGTTTGCAGAACACGGAAGACCTATTGGCATGCGAAGTGTTTACCGACGAATGAGCAGTTGTGGCTTGTTTTCATACCGGCTACACTGGGTCCTCCCTTTAACTCGAGAACACCGACGTAATCGCCTTGAGTGGTGCAGAGAACGGTCACTCTGGGATCAGGAATGGAACAGTATTGTCTTTAGTGACGAGTCTCGATTTTGTTTAGGCATGCACGATGGTCGTGCCAGGGTTAGAAGGCGCCGTGGTGAAAGGAGGAATCCACAGTTTTTTGTTGAAAGACATGTTCATCACACTGTTGGAGTTATGGTTTGGGGTGCTATAGCTTATGGTTCCAGGTCACCTTTAATCTTGATCAGAGGTAACATGAACGCGCAGCGTTATATCCACGAAGTTCTAGAACCCCATCTTTTACCCTATCTTGACACCCTGGCAGATCCAAGTTTCCAACAAGATAATGCCCGACCACATGTTGCAAGAGTCACAATAGACTTCTTTCAACATAATGATGTCACATTGTTATCATGGCCACCAAGATCTCCCGACTTATCCCCAATTGAGCACGTGTGGGATATGATGGGTAGGAGATTGCTCAATTTGCAACGTCCTCCTCAGACTCTAGAAGCACTTCGAGAGGAGTTGGTGGTTTCCTGGAATGAGATACCCCAGGAGGACATTGACCACCTGATCAGAAGCATGCCTAGGCGCGTTGGAGAATGCGTAGCACATCAGGGTGCATCCAAACATTATTAAAGGTCAAAGGGCTTTAAAGCAGTGCAATCATTTTGAAATTTTTATCATTTACTTATTATGCTTCATTAAGTACTTATACAAAATTTTATTAAAATAAAACCATTTAAACTGGGTGTTCGGATTTATATGTCACTTAGTATATGTATGTACATATGTATGTATATTTATATGTATGTACATGTGTATGTATATATGTATATTTTGTTTGATATCTGCTACTTAACAACTTGTTTTTTTGCATGGGTGGTTAAGTGTAAGAGTAGCATGTTGATAAACGTCGCCACCATATGCAACTCTTGTTTCTCTGTATGAAATTGTACAGTTTAAATAAAGACGATTATTATTATTATTAATTATTTGTAGCAAATTGAAGGTAAAATTCGGAAAATTGCGCGTTTCGAAAAAAAAACACTAGCGTACTATTTTCATTTGGAAAAATAATGCCACTAATCCTCTGTATCTCCGCCACTGGTACGCGTTAATTTTAAGTAAAGGCTTTTGAATGTGGACAATACTTAGATAAATCCGCATACCAAATTTTAGTTCATTCCAGTTGACGGTTTTAAAAATGTTTTTATTTTGAAACTTCAACATCCCATATATTTTTAACGAACCTTCGAGAAAAAATGTTACATAGAAGAACCCGGTCCTATGTATGATGTTTCCTTTTTAGTCTCGACTTGTCAATCACCAGGCATGAACAACAGAGTCTTCATCTTGCAGAAAAGAGTACTCAGGCTGATTTTCAATATCAACAAAAGAGACTCTTGTAAAGATGTTTTCAGAACATATAATCTGCTGACATTAATATCCATCTATATAATTATATAAATGCGCTCTCTTCGCATTTAAACATAGGACCAGTTTTACTCAAAACAACACAGTTAACAGGCACTACAACACCAGAATAGGTTTTCACTTAAGTATACCAGTCCACGCAACAGCCCAGTTTCAGACATCACCAGTCTATGCATGTGTAAAAATTTACAATTGAGTTCCGCAGAAGCACTAATATGTTGACATTAAAGAAACGTCTGAGAAGATATCTATCAGAAAAGTGTTACTACACCGTCGACGAATACCTAACTGCTTAATTTTATTTATTTATTCTTTTTATTTATTTATTAAGCTTAACGGAAAAGAAACAGTCTATTTATTGCTCCTCTTCTACACATTTTAAGTGCTCAATTGTTTTTATTTATTTAAAATTGATTTTTTTTTCAAGTTCGTTAGATGTCATTAAGAATTTGTTTGTGTTTGTAATGACTCCTATTTTATTTATTTGTCTATTATTTATTATCTCAATTACTGTTTTAATTAACTACCTGTTCTTTTTGCATATCGCAGACTATCTATCTATTTATCTATCTATAAAAAGCATCCAGAGTACATTTCTCAAGTTGGTTTTCATTTCAAACCTGTTTGAGAATTTGAATTAGTTCCCACCCTGTGCCGCCACCAAAGAGTGTAGCCGCGGCCTGATACTTTGATACTTCGGTCTGCATCCTGCTCTAGAAATAATGATGATGTGCGATCAAAAACTCACGTTTGTGCCTCCTGCGTCAGCATTATCACCAACCAAACAGTGGTCATGACAGCCGGTACTGTCCATCCGACAATACAGTAGATTTTGATGTAGGAGTATTCCTGGAATACCGTCACGGTAATCATGTTGTGCAAGTACAACCCCTCGATGAACATCCACATGAACATTGCTGTTTTCGCGTACTCCAACAGTGCCGTGCAGGCTTCGTTCAGGTACAACTGAAACAAATTTTTAGTCAAATTGGAGATTATAACAATTATTTTTTTTATTCATTTATTTATTTATTTATTTATTTCCAACAGGTGAAACCCAATTACAGGAAACGCTGAAGAAAATAACAATTAAAGAGACATGGTTCTTGGACTTAAATCTATAGTATCACACATTCTAAATAAGATTGGATGATCTATAGCAGTTAATAATCGATGCACAACTGTCATTGTAAATATCACACGATTCAGTAACACTGTTCATGACGCAGCACATGAGATTAATTGGCGATTTTGTCATAACATTTGTATGGCCAGTTTGACAATAGAATGCCGTTTGTTGTCGACTCCCTAGCCTTGGAACGCGGAAACATATTTTTTCAAGTAAATTTTGACAGTCAATTTTATTGTGAATGAGGCCATACAAAAACGACAAAGCAAATATGTTTCGTCTTGTTGACAGTGAATCCAAATTGAAAAAATCTAATAGGGCACTATGGTCACAACCTCTTTCTGGATAAGAACCTGTGCATTTAAAGTGAAAATACTTTAAAGCTTTACGTTGAATGGCCTCAAGCATCACGACAGAATTTTGGTATATAGGAGACCAGATCAGATTCGCATACTCCAACTTGCTCCTGACAAAAGTAAAAAATAAAGTCATTAATGTATCAACATTGGAGAAACCCTTCCAGTTTCTGATACAGAAACCAAGTAGTCGAGTGGCAGCCGACGATATATTCAGAATATGCTCAGTAAACGTTAGCTTGGTATCAAAAATGACTCCAAGGTCTCTATAAGAGGTGCATCTGTCTATAACCTGACCATTGATGTTATAATTATCATTAATTAAATAGTTAACTTTTCTTGTATAAGTCATAACTTTATATTTCGAAACATTCAGACTGAGACAGTTTCGTGAACACCATGACGAAATTATAGCTAAGTCATCTTGCAACATGACGCAATCCTCGACTGTCTTGACTAACGTGCAGATTTTAAGGTCATCAGCGAAAAACAAATGGAAACACTTCAGTTCAAAAGACAAGTCATTAATAAATATTAAAAACAATAATGGGCCTAGATTTGACCCTTGAGGTACCCCAGACGTGGCCCGATAGTAACTCGACCTATGACCACCATATTCGACAAATAACCTTCTATCCCTCAAATACGAATTCATGAGTGACATTGCATCAGACATACCCGCTGTTTTAAGCTTATCCAGAAGTGCATAATGATCAACTTGATCAAACGCCTTCTGAATATCTGTGTAGATGACATCAACTTGTCCCTGACCATCCAGTACTTCAGAAATGTACTGAGTAATTAGAGCCAAGTTGGTGACCGTAGATCTGCCTCTCATAAACCCATGCTGATTAATAGAGACTGCACCCCTGACCGAGCAGTAAACCGTTTCATAAGCAATGATCTCAAACAACTTGCTGAAATTGCACAGGATTGCTATTTGACGATAGTTGGAAATATCAGAGATATCTCCACTTTTGTGAATAGGACATATTTTAGAGGTCTTCCAGATATTTGGATATGTCTCTGATTTTAGAATTAGGTTGAATATGGAAGCCAGCGGTTTCGCTAGTATATGAATGCAATCTTTAACGAAAAAACTTGGAATACCATCACATCCAGACGTCATTTTGTTCTTTAATCTTTTCGAAGCCTTAATTACGTTTCCTTCATTTTTTAAAGAAATGATATCGGTAGAATTATTTGTTGGAGGAGATGACCCTAGTAGACCAGAAGGGATAAAAACTGTTGAAAAGAAGGTAGCAAAACTGTCCACTATATCCTGAGGCGTATCGCAGACATTGCCGTTAAGCGTCATCCTTGGGGGATTCTAGATTGCTGTTTTTTTGATCTGGGCAAATGACCAGAATTTGTTAGGATCATTGACAATGGCATCCTCAACCGATTGGACGTAAGCGGAGTAGGCAATACTGATCTGGTTCTTAATGAGCTTCCTAAAATTACTGAAGAATTATAGAAGAATAGCAATAGCTGATCTATTTTAATGCGTCTCTTAGTTTTTTTTTTTGAATGTATATCGAGTTCCACCATCCACGTGTAACTTCAAGTACATATAATTCCAATATTGACGATATAACTGTGTCATCAAATAACCACGTAATTATTGTGGGTTCATTTTGATAGCAACCTAAATTTTATCAAACATGTCGATGAAGTATGCGAAAAACTATGTAGATCGTTATATGCAATTAACATGCTTAAATCATTCCTAAGTATAGAAAACCTATTAAAAGTTTACTATGCATTGCTTCAATCAGTGATATCTTCTGGAACCTCTGTATCATAAAGTCAGCTGACATACACAGAGCTTTTGTATTACAGACAAGAGTAATCAGGATCATCTATGGCAGTGGTTACCAACACGTCGATCGCGAGCTACCGGTAGCTCGTAAAGGCAATTCTGCTGGCTCACAACATATTTTAAGAAGGCGTCAAAATCATAGAAGCTTCCCTTTTCAGCATTTTTGATCTGACGATACTGCTAAAGTTGGTTATGTTCAGCAGTGCAGTTGTCCCAGCCCGTGACAGGACCGCTTAAACCGCTAACGTATTCTCCCTGCAAACATTCGTCAGAAAATTTCTGACAACAGGGCTGCAATTAAGCAAGCGAAAAAGTCTTGTCATCCTGATGACATTCGCAGAGCGACGAATCTTGTTCATGAAGTAAGAAATGCCCTCGATGAATTCCGCAATGTGCAATGGAACGACATTCTGATGGGGATGCTCGACTCAGGTACTCCTAACTGGAAAGTGGTGAAGTGGCTCAGAAATGGAAAGCGACAACTCTCGCACATCCACGGTCATGGGAGCATAGTCTTCAGGACAGAGGTCAAGGTCGAGGTTTTCGCTGATGCTATGGAACGACAGTTCTCTCCCAACTATGATCTTGATCATGATCTCGACCAGGAGCAACAAATTGTAAGATACTTTAGGGCCAACGGCGTCAGTGACCCCGGTGCCGCCATTAGTGATTCTTCCTCAGAAGATTCTTTTTCGGAAGATTGTTCAGCTGAAGAGTTGCACAGCACATCAGCGGGTTCTCCCGAGATTCCGCATTGCACACCAGCAGAGCTTCAAGGTCATATTAAAGACCTCAAGGTGCGTAAAGCACCTGGGGAGGATCAAATCGCTAATAAGGCGCTGAAGCTGCTGTCACAGAAGTCCTTGACTTATCTCGTATCTATTATCAATGCCATGCTAAGTACCCAGTACTTTCCGTCGGTCTGGAAGACTGCGGAAGATATAATGATTTCAAAGAAGGTGGGTTCGATATTTCCCCAGGACTATCGCCCATCAGCCTACCGTCTGCTCCGCTAAGCTCGCTGAAAAGGTGATTCTACGTCACCTTGCGAATTTCTCGTCAGATCGCCATGTGATTCCTGACGTGCAATTTGGATTTTGGTCTGAGCATAGTACGGAGTTACAGGCGGTGAGGCTTGTGGAGCGAGTAACCAGGGGCTGCACCCTTAACGAAAGTACTGGCATCTTGCTTCTGGCTGTCTCGAAGGCATTTGACAAGGTGTGGCACAAGAGCCTTCTGTATAAACTAATTCAGGCTTTCCATTTTGCCTCCTAAAACTTTTGAAATCCTTCCTTGAAGGTAGGAAATTTCGGATCAGAATTAATAATTTTTTGTCGACAGTACGGCTCACCAGAGCGGGCGTCCCTCAGGGTTCGGTTCTAGGGCCAATCCTTTACTCACTTTTCACGCGTGATGTTCCTTGCCCTAGCAACTGTGAAGTCTATCTATATGTTGATGACACTGCACTGGTGGCCCAGTCGCGTACAAAGAATCTGGCTCACGACAGATTACAAAACTAATTACTCGAAAATGCACGCTGTCTATTGTACCAAAAAACGTAGCGGCCCCACGCCTGGAGTTTCAGTGAATGGAGTTCGCATACCATGGGGAAATTCTGCTAGGTAAATTATATTTCGGCAACTCTACCCTTTACTATGTACTCGTAGAACCTCAAAATTAAGTTTGGTTAACAAAGTTCGGCTATACAAGATGGTTATCAGACCAGCAATCACTTACGCATGTGCAGCATGGTGTTTTATTAACAAATCGGATATGCGTAATCTGCAGGTTTTGCAGAACAGGACCTTGCGAACCATCACTAACGCACCATGGTACGTCTCTAACGAGACCATTCACAGAGACCTCGGCATCCCTTAGGCCCGTATCGTCAGTCGTCCCTACAATTGTAGGGCGCGTTTATGGCCTCATGGATTATCATCCTCTTTTCTCTCCTTAAAAAAATTCTAGATTACACTTGTCCCGTGTCAGCGTCAGCCCTCTCCTATTGTGAAGACAGGTTTTCTTTTTAAATTGTAGGAAATTTCAGGCTGATAAAACATGATATAACTCAAAAGCAAGCACAATTTGATGCTAATAGATGTTTGTGACATAACCTCAAAATAGAGTTCTGACACGGAGAAGTAGAAAACTATGACAATCAAGGAGGCCATAAAGGCGCCCTACAATTATAGGGACGACTGACGATACGGACCTTATCTAAGGGACTACATCAAACATCAGGCGCAGTTACGTTATAGCCAAGCGAAATCGCACAGCAACCCTCTGTTGCGTGAGTCAGTAGACTACAACAGTCGAGCAAATTTACAAGCACACAAGACCGCGACTTGCACTGTGATCAAAATCAAATCGTGCAATTCTAGATCCAACCAAAATTAAGATTTTTGCCACAAACAAATTCCTAAATTAATTTTTGGATTAATTTAAAATAGCCGAATAACAATAGCAAGGCATCGCTTTAACTGGCGCACTTCACCCTCTTTGCTCTTCCCCCTTCCTTCCTTTCTTTCTTATTCCTTTCTTTCTCCCTGACTTCGTCTGGTATCTGGGCAACCACACCTGACAGACCTACTGACCTACGATACTTTAACAAAGAGCGAAGGTCCCATGGACCGCTCTGACGGACAATGACGAATAGAAAGACCGCTAACGGCATCTAGCGTACATCAGCTACCAAGTCTGGCAGAATCAAATTTTTCTGATCGATGGAACGAGTATATCACAGATATAAGTTTGTTGTTGTATAATTACCATTCGTCAATGTAAATCAGAGTCTTAGGACCTTTGGACTTGCTTTAAGCCTTGTAGGTCTGATCGAACAAATTCAGAATAGGTATAACTCGCAAGCCTACGATATGTTTGTCTCCAAAATCTCAGTCTGTAGAGAGGAGGAAGGTGTACGCTACAAGTGGACTTGACATAAACTAATTTCTTGACAGATCTGTCATTAAATTCCTATGTTTAGTGTTATTTTTTGTTTTCAGATAATTGTTGTGTTAGACGATTTCACTCAAAGAATTGCATGAGCCTAACGGAGGTATATCCTTTCTGCGGTAAGTATTATCATGTTGATGCAGCGTTGTCCCATCGGTAGTGGTAATCAAATGAGTCAAAAGTATGCACTAAAACTATGTGCAATTCAATGTAGATATATAGGCATGACTCCTCCTAATCTAATGGAATTCGTTGATCTGAGATCAGAGAGAAAGAAGAAAGAGGGAACGTAGAGTAGGACTGGGTTTTCAAATAGATATCGAAGAGTAAGCTAAATATTGGTATACATACAGGGTGTCCGCAAAGTTGGGGTTTTCCTTTTCAGAAACAACTACCCTTGAAATAACAAAGGTAATGTGTAGTGAAACGAGGGCGACCAAGTAAAAAAAATAAAGAAAAAAGTACTCACTCTCCAGTTGACGAGAAGGGCTAAGTACGTCTCTGCCCGAAATCATACCGCTCCAACAGAAAATGAAATCAGCTGATGCGCTACCGAGCAGACGCCGGCGGTGGTGCAGACCAGTAGACCACGAACAGAGGTAACAAATATGACCATCGTGCAGAAACCACATTGATTGTCTTACACTTAATGGCACATCTTCTAACAAGGAAGGCAAAATGTTGTGTTAAAAGTCTAGGTATTGCATCCCGTCCAATCGATTTGGGAGAATAAATGGTCCAATGAGCATACCGTTCACCATGCCAGCCCAAAGATTCACCGCAAATGTTTGTTGAAAATGTGCCCGACGGACAGCGTGCGGATTTTCTACTAACCAAACATGAGTGTTGCGAAAGTTATCCACCCCATGACGCGTGAACGTAGATTCGTCTGTCACCAATATGCACTTCAAAAAGTCCGGATTATTGTCATGTTGATGCAACAACCACTCACAAAACTGCACTCTTGCTGGAAAATCGTCAGGTTGATGGGCTTGTACACGTTGGACGTGAAACGGATACATCCCCTCTTCACGCAGCCTTTGCCACACTTTAGTTTTTGATACTTGCACTTCTCTAGCCACGTCTCTAGTGCTTGTTGTTTTTTGAAACGCAATCGATTATACGAGTTCGTTTACCTCTACACGCGTGACCGTAACCGTCGGTTGAAGGTTGCATACTGACCTGACATACTGACCCCGACCCAGTTCTGTCGTCGGGTTGAGCTAGTGTCCTAGTGCCAGTTGGGGATGTCGCGAGTCGCGGCTACAGGACGGTATTCAGATATTTTTGATGTTGCAGAGCCCTTTATCTCGATTCCCTTAAGATATTGGTGTATATGGTACTAAGAAAAATTGCTTATGTTTTCAAGATCTACACGTCGTGTAAAGGAAAACCCCAACTTTGCGGACACCCTGTATAGTTGTTGTTGATGTAACTTACCCGTTGTAGAAATTGGTAATCATGATCTAGGCCTTGGTCGATGTATTTTATTAACCTGAAGATCACTTGAAGTAACGTAGCCACAAATAGGTTTTTGTGGATTTTTGTTCTATTATTCTTAAGTACACTGAAAATATACGTTATTACGTTTAAGAATTCTTTTCTCTTAGTTTACTTACCGATATGTAGAAAAAATGTATAAAGACACGACTAATGTAACAAATGAGAATGAAAGCCCCACCATTTCTATACATCTAGTTATACGCCCGATCTGTAAAGAAAGCAGAGAATTATTGTTGTTATCCACAGTACAAAAATTTGATTAAATAATATTATTTCATAGCAAAAGATCCTTACATCTGATGAAAAATAGATCTTAAACCTGTCCGGGCATGGACTTTCACAAACAATATACAATAAGAGAGTGCCAGTATAGTCCTGGTCCAAAATGTTGACCCAATTTGTTTCTCTATTTTAGTCAAGCTTCACCCACTATAACAACTTTGTAACTTTACGTACTGCTTTTTAAAACTACTGTGAAGTTTATTAACTTCCAAAACGAACCCATATTCACTATTTCTTCTTTAAAGAAATTCATTTTCAAACACGTTTTTATTATAATGCTCGCAACGCTAATTTTGACAGTTTGTAACTAATCAACAATTTAGTTATTTCCAAGGATGATGCGATATTTTAGGGAATTAAGCCGTTCCATAAAAGACGTGCTAATAACCGAAAAATATCCGTAAGAACCCTTATGCGTCTAGTATAAAAAAAAGTTTAAAAAAACTGAATCCAAACTTGCACAAATACGAACCCCTTCCCACTTCAGTTGGCCCAACTATTGAAATCTTAGTTTTTTTCTTAACAAACACAAATAAAAAAATGTAGCAGGGTGTTATAGGATTAAAATAATAACAATGAATATTTTGATAATATATAGTAGAAGACACCAACTTCATCATTCCCTAATCAAATTTGCAGCATAAAAATAACACATGTTGCAATTACAGCATATCAACCTATTTTCATTTCAATGCAAAATAAGTATATAACGCATAGGTGGCTGTGAAAAATAAAAGCCATGACAATTGTTTTTATTAATCACAGCTGTCAAAATACGTTTAAAATAGTTTTGGATAGTTAAGCTTTTCAAAATGGTTAGAGGAAAGGTTATTAGTGAGAAAATTCGGTTACTGATAATTAAATTTTTTAATTCTGGGAAATCAAACTCAGAAATTGCAACTTTGTTAGACTTATCGCGGTACAGTGTGAGAAATATTGTTAGAAGATATAACGTAACTGGTTCAGTTAATATTAAGCCACGATATGTGAAAAAAAGTGCCGACCGAAGAGCATTAAGAAGAATAATCGTGAAAAACATGCGTGCCAATTATTTACAATTAAGTGCTCTGTAGAGTGACGCTGTTGGAAGGAGAATTTCGAGGTCCACAACTCATAGAGAGGCCCACAAACTGAGATTTAGCACTTGCAAGGGAAGTTTTCTTATAAAAAAAACACACCCTGTTTATAGGCCAAAGAAAAGCCACTATTAACTCCACTGCAAAAGAAAAATCGGCTTAGATGGGCTAAAGAACATAGACAATGGATTCCGTTTGAAAAATTACAACTTTGATATGTAAGTCAAAATTGGGACACCCCGGTGTATAATGGCGAATATTTTAGAAGTGTGCCCTCCAATGTCATGCATAACATCCCATGCATAGATTTTCAAAAGATGTATTTGTTTATTAGTAATATTCCGTCCACGCATGGATGGGCCACCCTGTATATCTGTCTGTCTATCTAACCATCAATCTATCTATCTACCCATCTATCAGAAAGGAAGATGTTGCTGCTGCTTTTCTATCCGATCAACCTGCAGTGATTCACCTTGTGAGATCAACTGTCTGTGAAACTGCAGAGCGTATTTACCAATCAGAAAATGTTATTAATGTGGAGTTGGAGCATCATTTGGGCGAAAACTAAGCTTTGCAAAACACCGGCGCTATATTTTGGGACAACCAAAACTTTCAGATAAGAATACTTTTTGTAATAACTCGTTCGTCGTTCAGAAATACAGCAATTTGTAAAACTTTCATTATGACTGTGAATAGTTTTTTTTTTCGTAGGAAGGAGAAATCTAAGGCTATCCTCATTGTAATTATACTGAAAGGTATGGCGTTAGAAACAAGCGAACTGGTAGAAAGTAAACTGGTACAATTAGACTGCTTCAAATGTTCGAATGCACATCAGACAATCTAATTCTCTGGGTATATGTGTCAGGTACATACAGCACAATTACAGATAATACTATGTAAACAGAGAATTACACACTCGAATTCGTTTCTAGCACAGCACGGATCAACTCGCCTACGCTTTGCTGGTGGAAAATATCCGAAATTTACTTAGCTTTAAATGACATCCGGATACTTTTGATCCATGAATTGTAACCAACTGGGATTTCCGTCTACAGTGCCGTGCGAAATTAGTGCAATTATATACTAGTGGCTTATTTCCATATTTATCGCTGGGTGGTGGATGGTCCGTAATCTAAAAGATAGGGTATCTGATAAGAGTACTATTAACTGCTTATCACGCCTATTTCCACTTGAAAAATTACCTATGCCATATTTTTCTGGGGACACTCTCCACATATGCAAAAAGTTTTGGCATGCAAAGGGTATTCGTTACATCTCAGGTTTAAAATATCGAGACACCTGCAAGGGTGAATTTATTAAATTATTGAGGATACTAACCCTTCCGTGTGCTTATATTTTGAGTTGCCTTTTATATCTTAATAATATTATTTCTTTCAACACTTACAGTGATGATCATAACTATGCAACACGAAATAGAAACAACATTTCTCTCAGTACCGACTTGAAAAATTCAGAGGAAACTCAAAGATCACTTAACATATTTAAGAAATAATTTCTGTGGTATGCGTTAAATGTTCATTCATTTCACTGTCCCACTTTTGTATCTGGTTTCCTTGTTTGTACGTGACAGGTTGTTGAATTTTATGCACTCATTTTTCTTTTCTTTTAACAATTATGCGTTATGCATCATTGTAGGTTATTTTTAAATGTAATCCTTTTTTCAAGTCTGATAGACATTCTACCAAATATTCTCTTGGCATTTTTATACTGACCTGTGTAAACAGTTTATTATATTATTATTATTTTAAAAATGGATATAATATCCATTGTTTTAAGTTCAGAAGCTTTGGTGCCAGAGCTTATCTTAATTATCTACCAATACCTTTAGTCTGACACTCAGATGACATCATGGCATGAAAGTCACGGATTCTAATAGCAAGCTTTGCATGAATGATTTTTCTCGCGACGGCATAAACGCTAATGGCTGCCGACGGACGTTCGCGGTTTTGCGAGAATTTTTCTTCTTTTTCTTTTGCGAAAATTACTACTAATTACTTTGGGCTATTTCATTCACAGCTCTTATGGGGTAATTCTAGCAAAATTAATAAACCATTTATTATTAAGAAAAAAGCCATTAGCACCATGACGAGTTGGTGATGGTACACTTAACACAACCACGTATAATTGTAATTCTGCAGAAAAAAATCCTGGATGGGTACACTTTTTATATGGAAATTTGTTTTTCCAAAATACCATTTTCCAGTATTACCTAGACGTCAAATATCAACACAGAACAAGTGACGTTGGAGGATAGGCCACAAAAGATCAATTATCGATCACAGGACGGAATGGATGCGAATTTTGACAGCGCTACGTTGCCATATTTCGTCACCTGAGAGGTGTATAGTATAGTCACATCATGGTTGACTGTGATTTGAAATATATTAACATGTGAATCATACACGGTAGAGCTAAACAGTTTTATGACAATGGAAATGAAAAATAAAAAGATAGTTTTGCTAAAAATGAGTGATTAAATAGTAGAAATAGTACGTAGAAATAAACGACAAATGGACAAACTGAAATATAATTGTGTAAAATTAACAAAAATAGGCTAATAAGCGATATAAAACAGTATTTTCTGAAATAACATAAACAGTAAATAATCAAAACAACAAATAAGCAAAAACAGTAACTAAAACAATACTTTCTGGAAGAACATGATCAAGAACAACAAATGAACAAAAACAGTAAATTTAAACAGTATTTTCTAAAACAACATAATAAATAAGAAATAAATAAACTAAAAATACAATTCTGTAAATATATAAAAAATATAGAAATTAAATAGAGAAATTAACTAAAACAGAATTTTCATACATTTTCTTTTTTTTTATTTCCATTGTCAAATAACTTTTGAGCTCTAACGTGTATGATTCACATGTTAATATACCTACTTCAAATCAGTCAACAGTCACGATGTGACTACTATACACTTCTCAGATGGCGAAATATGACAACATAGCGCATACATTCCATCCTGTGATCGATAATCGGACTTTTGTGGTCTATTCTCTAACGTTACTTGTTCTGTGTTGATCTGTTGAGATTTGACGTCGGGGTATTGCTGGGAAAAGAAATTTTGGGAAAACAAATTTCCGTATAAAAAGTGCTCCATCCAAGATTTTTTAGAGCAGAACTTCGTGTACACGTTAAGCTTGCAATAACCCCTAAGTACGTGGTTATGTTAACCTTTAACTACTCGCGCTGGTGTATATAGTACACCAAAATGGCGCCGAGGGCTGCCGAGTCCATGCGAATAGCTGTTCGTCCGCGCCGAGCCAGGTATGCCTCGCTCGATGTATCTTCCAGATGTAGCGCCAGTACGGTTCGGATCGCTAGAGGACAAGGTTAGATATTTCAAGAAGTTTGAGGTGGTGTACAAAATACACCAAGGCGAGCAGTTATGTAAGTAGATAGTGGAATGTATTTTTTTTTAGGTTTTTCATGAAAACTTATTTGTAATGTAGTCTGTATATTTGTATATAATTAAACATCGATTATATGTTTTGAATTAATTGATTTATTCATTCAAGGAATCGAGTTAAGGTGAAAAATCCTCAAAAATTGACCCAAGATGAATTAGCGGCTATAGCCCAAGTTATATGTGATACGGATACCGAGGAAGAAGTTGGAGGAGAATGAGATTCTGATGGAAGTGAACAAGTAGAGGAAGAAGCACACAATTCGGATTCAGAACAAGAAATAAGCGAACTAGAAGAAGTGGATGAAGTGGATGTTGATCAAAGTAGTTCTGATTCTGAAGATATCCTGCTCTCGGTGTTAGCGGCCAATAAACAAGATAAGTATATTGGCAAAGACAAAAAGA